CTCTCCTCGTTCTCGAGTATAAGTGCCGTGATATAAGCTCCGTCCTTAACGATGGTTCTAACTCTACTTTCGTAGAAGGTCCCGCCGCTATCTATGCAGGCTTTCTTAGCCCGCTTCCTTACATCAGATATGCATGTTTTCTAATTAACGATACAGTCGTCCGAGGCTAAGACGTAAGTAAGTGATTCTGGACCTATCGTTCTAAAAACATCCCGTATTGACGTGTTATCGCCTGGTTATCGCTTCTGCAAACTAAGCTCCTCACGAGCTTCGTTAATCTTCTAAAGTGTGGCGAGCTTATTTTATTCGTAAATCACGATATGGCCGATACTGCGTTAGAACTTAGAAAAGCTATTACTGTTCCACTGCTTCTAAGTCTTGATTGCCTCCGTTATCCACTCCGGGTTACTATAATTAACCCGAACTATCTTTAATATATCGTCGCTAGGAGCGAGCCACGAAGGGTAAGAAATTATTAATAACTACGTATTAGGCTATCTCTGAAGGATATGGTCGGCCGTCGAGAGACCGAACACGCCAGTGCCGATAATAATAACTCTGTCCATCTTATGATAAGGATAAGATTAGGGGATAAAATGAGAGGTTGGAATAATTACCGCGTTATCCACTTTTAAGTCTGCGCGGGCTTTATAATATAACAGTTTATCCCGAAATCACCTGATCTTACGTTCTTCTTATAAGGGGCGACTTTGTCACCTCCGGCGGGATAAATCACCCGACCTTGGCCGAGGATATTCCGCGACAAATCAGGACCCCCTTACCCACGCGTAGACTTACGTGGAGACCAAATCTTCTCTTTCGAGGAATAACATTATGATTATGAGTTAGCAGAAACACGTAAAGGTCCCGTCCCTGGCATGGCGTTTTCTCTAACTCTTCTTCTTTCACACTCTTAACTCTGCAGGGAGCAAAGCAGGCTCAGAATCTATATTATAGCTCCTCGACTCTCGAATTCAAAGCACGATTAAATCTTCTCTATATTCCTTTTCAAGGGTTTCCGAATAACGAAATAGCCAGAGTTACCCCTTATAGCCTCCGCGCTATCCGTCGAGCACGATCGAACTTCAAGCGATTCGGCGCGATAACGATACTATTAAACCGTACTGGCCCTGATCCTAAGATAACCCCTACAATGCAGATTACACTTTGCCACTAGCTAGCAAAAAAGCCTGATATGAATCGGCGTGAGATAGTCGATTTCATCAGTAATATGTTTAGAGAGGAAGTATCTGTTACCAGTATCACTCGGGCCTTAGGCAAGCGTGATATAACTCTGAAGGTAATAGGTCGTGTGGCCCAAAATCAGAAGGCCGAGCTGCGGCACTTCTACCAGTATAGTCTCAAGAGGCTAGGGTGCCGGTCGTATCATTTAGTGTTTATTAACGAGTCTGGCATCGATAAACCCTGTATATTTCGACGAAAGGGGTAGGCTCTAAAGGGGATACACCCGTATAGAAGGCGAGATTTCACCGCGAAAACAGACTACAAATCCTTACGGCATATACACAAAAGGGCGTAAAGCTATTACACTGCTTCTACGGAATAGTAGATAAGGCTATATTTAAACACTTTATTAGCTAATTACTACGTCACTACGGCAAATGGCCAAAACCCGAGACGGTTCTTATCATGGATAATATTGCTTTTCACTACTCCGACAGAGTCCGGCAAATATATTAAGATACCGGCATAAAGTCGGACTTCCTAGCACTATACACTCTAAGGACTAATTCGATCGCAGAGTTCTTTAGGGAAATCAAGACTCATGCCAAATCACAGCGCAAAAGCCATAGGAGTCTTATTCAGAGGGACTTTAAGAGTTATGTCAAGTCGTGTATTAAGGCCGTGGGCAGCCGATAACGCAGTGCGGAGGGTCATTTCCGAAACGCGGGGATTTACGTTAAGCAACCTCCGGAAAGGTGGCTATAGATTAATAAAGAACGAATTATGCTTTAAGCTAACCTCTATATACATTTAGGACCGAAAATAGCGTTACTCCGTAACCTAGGTAGGGACGGGGGTGTGTAGCCGGCTTCTTTAGCACCCAAGACGACGATCGGTCATCACACCTACACCATATATAGCATATGCAACCCCGAGAAGATCCCGACTCTAGCGAAAAGCACGCTATACCGGATACAATAGCACGAGCAGCCGTGCTATCCTATCTGGCATAGCGTGTATACGATCCGTGCCTAGCCTTTCCTCTAAATTAATCTCCTATAATAAGCTTATTTAATTGGCTGGGTCTTTGCCACAGCGACTGTGAGCTAAAACCAACTCCTATGCATAAGTGTACTGGGCCAACCCTTGACGATAGCCGTCTTAATACACGCCTTTTATAAGCCCTATAGACGGAACTGCGCCTTTTCTCATTAGCCAATGGATAATCATCTGTTAGCCGGGGGCGAGGAGAGCATACAGCCTCGTACCGGGCGTTATGGGCGACCTGGCAACTCACGTTCCCGGTTCTCACGACTCAGGGCGCAGCTGGATACCAAAAGCAACTAACAGCGTCAACCAACTCCATAAGATTCAGCTCTCGAAGAAAAAGAAAAAAAAAAGAAATCACTTCTTACATAAGAAATCCAGATCATAACTGAATCTTTTCAGAAATAAGATAGCTATAGATCGATTTCAGAAAACACATAAGATATCCTATGGTGTTGAGATTTTTTTATGTTAGTGCAGGTACGTTTCTCGAATCTTCTAACCCTTCCTAAAAAGGCAGGCATAATTATACCCCCATAACACAATTGAACAGGGGTTGTATGGTATGAAGATAGAGCCCGGTGGTGCCCCAGCCCTTGCGGCGGTGGCGCGTATGCCCGTATTTAGTTAAGCGCGTCCCGGCAGCTAGGTATATACACGACCCGGGAAGATCGAAGAAGGGGGGTGCGGAAGAACCACGACTTCTCGAGGATAAGATAAGTGGAGGCCCTCACCGAGCGGGTCTGCGCTCAACTGAGTACAACACATAAGTTCAACCCCTGAAGTTAGTTATCGTGTAATCGCGGTGCTATATACTTGCCCGCGGTCGGGTTGCTCTCCATCTTATCACACCTCAAATTACTCGCCTTACTTAGTAACTCTTTGTCCTCGAGCTCGCTTAATTACACTAGAAGAACTGCTGGTGTATAAGTCGTGATATCCGCTTTTGTGAAAGCGGACATCCCGCACGCGCCCGCTAGCCCTGTATATGCTTGCTTCTTAACGGATATTCGCCTATAATCAACATTCAATACTTAAGTCTTATCTAAGACACTGTCTCCTAAGTTACGTAAATTTAGTACGCGTTATCAGCCAGGATCTCTATTACTCAAAAGTCCTATATATATCTTACAATTGCCCGCCCCCTGGCTCCAAGGAACATATATTTTCGGCTAAAGCATACTCAGCTCTCCTCCACGGTGACTAATTCTGGACACGATCATATCGCCAAGTCTTTCATACCTCTTTACCTTCTCTTCAGAGATCCATCCATATCTCACTGAATTATAGCGGAGACATAGCCGTTAAAGTGTAAGGCCGTGCGTCTTTATTTCCAGGACTAGCTCTCCGATATCTATATCGACAATAACGGTAAAATTTACCACGCCTTTCCTCCTAACTACCCTATACCGGATACCGTCTAATCCCGTCTCGAATTCGTAGCTACATCGTGTATAGTCCCGGAGGGCGGGACGATAACCGTGGAGGCTATTAAATATAACTAGTAAATATAACTGTTAATATATCCAATTCCAAGAAGAAAGGCTAAAGCTTATATATTCTAGCAACCCCGTCGTAAACCCGGGCTTTTAGGGGTGGACGACATATACTACTCTTTCTCCCTACCCCCTATAAGCTGGAGTCGTTTGCACAGTAACTGGTTTCTTCGACCGTGACCCAAAGCCGGCATATGTGGAACTGAATACTGGTGAACGCCTGAACTGGAGCTATATGAGTGGCTCTTATAGGGATTGCTGTGCGGTTACTGAGTTCACTCTTTCTATAAGGCGGGGGATTATTTGGGTGTCTTTTAAAGACGCCGACGGAAATGTTATTTAGTGCACTACCCCGTGTTTTGTTTCCCTAAGATCAGTTTAGATAGTGAATTCTAGTATACTCTCTTCATCATAGCAGCCGCCGGTACAATAAACGCGTTAACTTACCAAGAATCTCCTATGTCATCCTTTGAATATAACGCCTTCTACTCTTGCCGTTTTCTTTAGTGGATTGGTTAGTACTATAAGATGCTCGAAGGCGAGCTGTATATACGACGTGAAAACGGAATGGTAGTGATTGAGTCGCGAAGTATCTCTGAAGCAGACTACTGTTAAGCTCTTACCTAGTTCGTAGCGAGAAGGCGACTCTGTTAACGCCGAAATTTAAGGTCGTAGATATTAACTTTATTAAGAAATCTAGGCTAGGAAGCCACTAGTTCACTCCTTAACCCGAATAGCGGCCGAAGGCAGTTAAACGATACTCGCTATTATTATAAATCTGTACCCACGGGAGATTTTAAGCCCTTACCTAGATACTCCCGCCTATGCCACGAGTATCGTCCCGACCCGTACTCGCTCTGTGTTATTATTTCTTCACCATAAAAGACCGGGTGTGACGATATAAACTCTCCCGCACCTCCTATAAGCATCTTAACATTATCGGAACATTCTCCTTAGTCTGTTTAGCCTCCCACTTCCATACACGCCGCCGTCTTCTCCTTCCGTTTTCTATCCCTTTTTTCTTCGAGCTACGCGTTCTAGAAGGGACGATCTTAATCGTACGAACGGGAGGCGTGAGGAGTAGATAAGAGGAATTTGGATAACAACGAAGCGACGCCGTACGATAGAGGCAGGAACGGGAGGGAAGGTAGGAAAGGGGAGGAAGTGGGCGGAAAGGGAGGGGGTGGGATACACCCAGCTTGGGGCTTGAGCAGCCACCTTAGTAACCTGCGGTATTGTTACGTTTACTGCTTCTCCATCTCGGTATGCATAATGCTTCCACGCCATGGCCGCATAATGGGCCTGAAGCAACGATCGCTGCATGTTCATACAAGCCATCGGCTTCCTCGTCATTCATTCACTCTGGGGAATGCGGTCGACGAAGTTGCTGATCGTGGCCGCCGCGTTGGCTGTACCAGACCCCTTCGAAAGGGGGCTCGACAGCGGGAGGACCTGTAGCCTAGACCTGTCGGGGTTATTATTATTTTCTAGGATGCCAGGTTATTCCCGGTTTGGATAGCTTTCTATTGTCCACTTAATGATGGTCAGTGTGCCTGTCTTCTTTGTGGTTGTATTGTTTAGGGCCGGTATATCCTTAGAAAGGGCCTTAGCCGGCTTGAGTTGAGGTTGGCGAAGTCTAAGCTGGTGTTCGAGTCTAGCCAAGTGTGATTCGTAGCCTTGACTGCGTGCTTTAAGTTGGGATATGTACTGGCGGTATGATGGATTGCTACATAGTTAGTGCCTGCGAAGATTCATTATGGCTAAGTTCAAGCATATAAGGATCAGGATAAGTTTCGGCGACTAAGTGACAGGCGCTTAGTTTAGACGTAATTAAAGAGGTCGTAGCTAAAACTACTCTTAGAGAGGGGGGAGATACCCCCCTCTAGGAAAGGAATAGCGTGTAATCGTGGTTAGGGGGGTAGTATAGTCGAGATATCTATAACTAACCGCGGATTATACCTATATTATCGAGGGTAATATCCCGAGGTTAGTATATTAATATAAAGTATATATATATTATTAATCCTAGTCTACTACCTTACGCCGAATCGACTAAGCGATATAGTATCGCTTAAACAACTAACTAATACCTAAGGATAGTCTTGCCCTTTAGCGTTAGCTTAAGGTTATAGAAGCTTTAATGAATCCAGATCCTATACTAGCTAAGCGGAGTCTCCGCGCTTCGAGTAACCGATATAAAAACCTTATATTACCGGGTAAACCGCGTAAAGGTAAACTATAAGCTCCCGTAATACCTTACTCGCCTTTTTCTTGGCTTTTCTTTATTTTAATCTTCACCGCTTCTAAGATATAGCCCGATAACCGTATAGTATAGGTCGTCGAGGCTTATATTATAGTAGTCCTTATCTTTACCTTTTAGCTCTACTATTCTTATTCCGTGTACGCGAAAAAGCCCGTAATAGGCGTGGTTTATTAGCTTTGTATCTTAACCTGGTTTAGCTTATCGGCGCTCGGACTTACCTTTATAATCGTATACTTATTCGATAATAAAGAAGATCGATAGCTAGTAGCCTTTAAAGGTATAGTAGCTCTTATTATCCTTAGTATATAGGTATATTAGAACTTATCTAGCGTAGAGTAGTTCTTATTCGTCTCTAGCTGATAGGGAAAATATACCCCTTAACTCTTTGCCTCTACGAGGCAGCCCCCCCCTTTACTGTAAGGAACCTGTATAGTGGCTTTTAGGAGAGCCTTCTTGTCCTCGGGCCCCTTATCGGATTTAGTACTTAGCGGTTAGTAGAATATAGCGACGAATAGTTATGGGGCGTACTGATTATAAGCTATTCCGCTATTATAATTATATCGGGCTATGGGTTCTGGTCGTATAGGCAGGCGAAGACAGCTCGGTGGCGGCTACGCCTTTTAGCATTGTTAAGCGGTTTTGTCTTCATAGTATCAGGGGTGCTGCTATTCCTCCACGTTAGCGGTCTATTCCCGGTGTATCTCCTCCCGCAGTGCCTGCTTATTATAATCCTTATCTCTGAGAGATATCCGTGGCTCTGGCTAGAGTAACGGCTTACTTTGGAACGAGGACACGCTCTCGTAAGTCCCCCCTATATATTCGTCTATTGTGGTATCTGACGTATCCTTAGGCCTACGTATCCTTATAGAGTTCTGGTAATCGATAATATCATAATCGTGATATTAAGACTAGGAGGAACTCTCCGACCTATATATATCGCTATCCCACGGCAGACTCTACCACGCATATATTATCCAACTCCTAGGCTTAGATCGTCGTGGATTAGGGGAACTAGTATGCCTACACCTCTGACTAGGAGAAAAGGGAGGTCGACTCGGGTACCAACCAGGCTAGGGAGGATAAAGAGGTGTGATAAACGCTCCATACCATATAATACGGTGGCAGCATTATATACTTATGTATTCCTGCCTTGGGTTTTTATACAGGCTGGCAGAGGATCAGGCTACACGGGGTTTTATAGTAAATATCACCAGCATAGTCGGGAGCCTTATACCGAGGGATAGGCCCCTCTAGACTAGCCAGTATCAGTATTCTCTTTATTAAATTAGAAGTCTTTTCCTTTCCACTCTTAATTCGAATTTTATCTACTTAATGGATTATGCCGGTAAAGATCCTGGAAAGGTGGTTACGACTATGTCTCGATTATGAACTCGACGACGGCAACTCTACGCTCATTATAGCAAAAATCGCCGTCTTATCTACTTCCTCTACCTAAGAATTAGCTTAGTGCGTCCAAGCATAATATATTAGCTTACGTGAGTCTTTATATCTTACTTATTTCTAAACTGATATACAGAATAAAATGGAGAGGTAGCCTTCTATTATTACCCCTATTCCTGTTACCCTACTACTAGCCTAACGATATATATCTCCGATATCCCTATATATTATAGGCTGTGAGAATATTCCTATGATCCTCACGGCTTAGGGCGTAGCGTGGCACCGATTTAATAAGCTCTTTATTAGATAACTCGAAAGCTATACCGTCTCCATCGGCGTAATAAGGAATTTATGTAGAGATAGTGGACTACTAGAAGCCCCCGTATTCTTTCTTCTCTGAATTAAGGCTATGAAGAATAGTAATGCCGTATAGTATCTACGAAATTCTTATTACTTCGAGATCCGGGGGGAACTATGCTCTCGCTATACAGAGCTGCCTAGGTATCGGGGGATAGGGTTTAAGGCCGGCGTAAAACGTCCAGGACGATTTAAACGTGATGGTTCTAGTATATTAGTTCAGCTATATTATAAGAGGACTATAGTTAACTTATATTCTGTATAGACGTAGTATCACCACTGGTTAACTATTCCAGGATAGGACCGCGTATGATAGTAAGCGCTCTAGTGCGCCGGCTTAGTGTAATGCTATAATATGCTCTGGTTTAGAGCTGAATAGAGTGTTAGAATTCGATATTATGCATTATATCGGCTCTGGATAGCTCGAATCAATATATACTCTATTATTGTATTGTATGATAAAGTCGAACGCTCTGCCAAGGACAGGGCCGTCTATTATTGAAGGTGAGTAAAACGAAGGTTATAAAGCGGGAAGTACGCCACTGTAGAACGCACGATAAACCCCAGATAGATAGAGTTGCAGAGCATGCCCAGGGAAGAAGTGGTAAGTAGAATTATTAATATCCTAAGCACGCTTCTTTTATTGCCTTCAGGTATATACCGGATTTCCGTTAAATCCAAGTAGCTCCCTAACAGGGGAAGGGGCTAAGGCTGCTGGTGACGATATCCCATGGCTGACCGCAGCATGCCTGATCCTAGTAACAACGCAGCGCCTAAAGTCTAGGACATTGTTGGTTATATTATAATTTGAGGTAAGGGAACGCTAACTAACGCTGGGATATGTAGATAAGCCGGCTACTGGGTTAGTCCGCTCAAAAGCCGTATTCACCGTAATAATCACCTAACTATAGTTAATAATAAGATAGCTTTATAGTGATATGCTAATAAACGTGATAAGGCTTGTATATACCCAGCTAACTAGCCTATGAAGTCTTTATCCCTGCTTAATATTAAGAGAAGGATCGATTCTAGAGGAGATAAGGCCCTTACCGTAATGATAAGATGTATTTGGCTAAGAGATAGGGGCTAATCGGACCAGCCCGGGAGGCAGGGCTATGAATAGCTACGGCGTATAGAGTCGGGTGGCAGGCAGTTCAAGTCTGCATAGTGATTATTGGGTTAGAAGTTATCGCGATCCTAGCTCGGCCACCTCGTTATGTTAGAGGGCAGGAATCCAGTCTATATCACGGCAAGGTACTTTGCTATTAATCACTCCTATAATCTTCGGCGCCCTCTCTATAAGACGCAGAACGTCCGAGGTATACCCCTTACACCTTCCCACCCCCACACCTAACCTCACCTCTTACCCACCTCCCCGAGTCCCTAATATAGGCACCTAGAATACGCTAGAAGAAGGACACGTACTAATTTAACGCCGGGTATATCTAAGTCAAAGTGCCCTAATATAGTGTATTATTACCTCGGCCAATCCGCCCCCCTTCTTAATATCTAAACCCTAATTAAAGAGCGGTGTCTCTCGGTGAAAGCTATATCACTGCTATCTATTCCCACTTCTTACCGCCTAACCTTCGAAAACTTTCTTTCTTTCCTGCCCCCTTAGTTAGCCCTAAGCAATTTTATATCCTCCATCCCGCAGCAGTAACCACAGCCAATGACCTCAGTCTCTGGCCACAACAGCCCTTAAGCCTCTGGCCATTCTCTGCCTTCACTAAACACCAACGTATCTGGCCTATTCCCCTCGAGATAAACTCGACCGGTTCTATCCAGACTACGGCTTCGCCCGAGGGGGAATAGCAGCAGCATCAGCAGTAGCATTAGTAGCAGCAACAACAACAACAACAACAGCAACAACAGGCTTAGCAGACGCAACATAACCAGCAAAGCTTGAATTCGCTAACCTAAAGCGCCTCGCCCCTTTCGCAGTCTTCCCCTTTTCAGTAACCGGGCAGCTTACTCACCGACTACGCCCTTTAATAGTATCTGCAGCAACACCAATAAGCGGCGTCCGACTTTTCGCCCTTTATCTCTGACGCTTATATGCCTGTGACTTACGATGGCTTCACACCTAGTTTTGCTCCTATTAATCCTATAAGTTACCTACCTACGACATCCCAGCAATTGTCAACCAGCTTCCTTCAGTCAGCGGCGTTCACTATACCCCCGATAGACGACAATATCCCGGCTATGAATTGGCCCGGTCTTCTAATAGATAACTGGCAGGATATTCAGGCTGTTATTCCTTCTATGCAACTCGGGGCCCTATCCTATACTATCGGAAGCAACTCGCTAACAGGGACTCTCCTAGAAGTTCATTCTCTTACTAGCTCTAGTAATAGCTGGATAATAGTGGGAGAGCCTAGAAGCAGCCCTAACTTCGACTAATTCCACTAGGCGTATCAGAACGCGGCTATCTTTAACCCTAGTCAGACTTTATATTTACGGATAAACTCAGATTTATCGGACGGCGCTAACTCGTTCGAACTAGGAAGCTACGAGGAAATTACGCCCTTCTTAATCTCTCCCTTCTCCCCGGACTCTAACTCGTATCCCGAATAGATATTATACCGTGGATATTATAGCGGATATTATAGCTATAGCTATAACCATAACATAGTCAGCCCGACTACCGTAGGTATACTAGTGCCTATCCAGTCCACGTTAATATCTACCCGGTCTAGTCCGTCTAGTGGCTCCGGCGCTATATTACCGTCTATTAATGCCTTAAGACGGAACTCGGGTCAGAGGAAGAGTCCGATTAGTAAGACGGCTAAGCCCGTTATTTAGTGTACGTCTAATAGCCGTAAGGACGGCATGGGTGAAAAGAAAGTTAGACGCCGGCGTGGTCCTCTCCTTCCCGAGTAGCGCAGGTAAGTAAGCGAGATTAGAAAGCTCTGTGTCTATCTACGCTATAAGTTCCTAAAGAAGACTTATAATAAGGGTAAGCCCTGTGCGGGATGCCAGCCATCGTATACTCGTCTGTGGCAGGTGCCCTGCACTCGTATTAATATTAAAGATATTAGCTACTTTATCTCCGGCTAGAAGGTCGATTTCGAACGATATAAAACTCGTAACGTCTCCGTCTATAACGTTAAGGGATTCTCTCCTAACAAGACACTAGTCTGGATTACCTATAGTTATGGATTTGCCCTTCCTATTTATATTCGGGAGGTATACGTTAACGATAAGAGTATCTTCTAGGTGGATTAGGTGGAATCGTATCTTACCGACTAGGAGCCGATTAAGTTCGATATCCGTACGGAGAGACTAGATATCGGTGCTAAGGGCGTCTCTATTAAGGCCCTTTATATATACCTTGATAAACATATTGATAGCCCGTTTAAGGATTTTATTAAGGACTATTTCGAGGGCACTCCTTTTATGACCGAGATCCTAAAGACGGCCTATCGCTTCTACGTTAAGGAGAAGATACTATTTATCCGAAAGGCCTTAAAGCTCGTCCTTACGTATAACCTAATAATATATATCACTATAATTTAGTAGCAGGGTGATAACGCTAACCTTAACGGCCAGATTAATAACGAGGATTCGAAGTTCGACGGCTAGGTGGTCGCGCCTATTATAGTTAACTTCCAGATTAAGTGCGCGTTAGCCGATATATAACGCGAACTGCAAAAGAATATTCTTAAGGAGCTATCTTCCCTTTACTCGAGCGTATATAGTGGCGAGCGTCTTAAGAACTAGCTAACTATCTTTATATTAGCTTCGATTCTTTTAGCAGTATAGGAGGAGATATAGTTCGACTCTTACTACTATATACCTGACCCTGCTACGGTTACTAAGTTCTGTAATAATATAGAAACTACGCTAGTTAGCGTGATCGTTAGTCTGTTCTGTGCTATTTTATAGAAGCTCCCTGCCTTTATGGATTAGGACACGGCTAAACACGGCTATATTCTAAATAATAATATAGCTATCTATAAAGCTATAACCGAAATCCGCGAGTATATTCTTAAGTATAGTATATAATCCGCTTTTTAATTATACCGAGTTTTACTCTAATAATATATACAGAGGAATATCTTCGTAAACGCCCTAAATACACCTTTAACCGAAATAACTTTAATTCTTTATTAAATAAGTTCCTATCAAAGTTAGTGATCCGTGCTATATAGGCTTAGATTAAGCCTAGCCCGAGAGATATAAGTTGGCCGAACGGCTATCTAATTAATATATTCCTGCTGTTATACCCGGAAAAGGGTTTTTACCTCTTTTATACTTCTTCACCCACCTCTTTTACCGGCCCTAATCCTACCTTAATCCGACCTCCTTTAATAACCTATAAGCATAAGAAGGAGCTTATTTTTTTACCCTTTTATAACACGTGTATACTAGGGTAGGAGCCCTATCCGGCAGCAGATCTCCTATCTAGCGGCGGCGGCGGATTCGTAATTTCTGGGTTTTAGGTAGTAGAATACAGCTCGAATAAGTAACCGATATCGGAGTCTTAGATATAGTGTCTAGGACCGGAAGCTGGGTTTTTATTTTTCCCTTAGATCTATACTATTAAGAGGGTAGAGTAATAAAGCCGTACGTTTATAAAGCGGGGATTATAGACTAGGACGAGGTTTATTTATTATGCTACTTAGGTTTCTATTCGGGGCGGGCGATAGATACTAGAGGATAAAGGTGATTAATTATCTGCTTAGGTAATATTCATTTATTCAAAAGCGATAGTCCTTTCGTTTTCATATATCCTTTTAGAGTAAATTAGAATTAAATTCATCGGATATAAAAGGCGCCTTTATTCATAACGCTAGGGAAGGAGAGCTATAACGGAATAACGCACCCGCCTAGAACGACTCGGGCAGGAATCACCTATCTGCTAAGGGAGTATTGCTGACTCTAAAAAAAGAAGGGGAAAAAAAAGATATATTAACCATCACCATAACCACTTCGGACTAGATCTCTAAGCAAACAGATTCTATATAAAAAGGTTCTTAAGTTTAATACACTAATTTTCTATCTTAACGAACTATAAACTAGAGTACGCTTAGAAATACGGCGTTTAGAAACGATCCTAATAAGATAATAAGACATCGATACTAGTCTATAACGCATATATCAGGTCCAGAACTTAAATAGGGGAGGATATTAGAGTCTCTAAAGATATACCTAAGTCCTACTATTAGTACGTATCTCCGTCCGAAACGGAGGTCTCGTCAAGCACTAACCGGCTTAACGTAGACTATCTCTTTAACTATACCCCAGATCTTAAGGAAGCAGTAGATATCGGAACGTAAGAAACGTTTTATTTGGATACGGCGCCTAGAATAGGAGGAGGTAATCGTCGTAATAGTAAAGTCAAGCGGCTCTAAATCCGTAACAGAAAGATCACGGTCCCTACGGCGGCTTATCCACGATATAGAGAAACCACACCCGTCGTAAGTCTCGCTCCTCCGGATAGCCTTATAGTACTAGAGTACTCGCAAAGCCCGGGTATAAATCGGCTAAGGTAACTAATATACTATAGGGAAGTGCAGTCTTACTGCTTAGGGGAAGTGTATTTTAAGCGCGCCGTGGGACCAGTAAATATATATTTTCAAACTGGATTATAGATTACTAGGCCACGGGCTTTATGCTCTCCCGAATAGCGCGGGATCCCTTAGATCACCAGTTACCTAAGAAGTAACGTCTTATACGGTGATATGCCGGGAAATAAGGCTATCCCGATCTATATATCCGGCAGAGGGAGGGTTAACAGGGTAAGGGGTAGGCCAGGGAAAGCGCGTACACCACCATAGCCTAAAAAGCAACCTTTTATATAGTAGTATATTAGACGGTACTATCCTAATAATACGGCAGGGAGGATTATAGTATTATAAGGGGGTGGGTATTAGGTGGCCTCTAGGAGCGGCGGGCGCTAGGATAATAACACAGATACATACTAAATCAGGGGGTCCTAGGGATCCCCTGATTCAGTATAGCGTCTATCTAACCCCCTAATTTATTAAGCCCTAGCTGCAGCGTCTTCCTGCCTTAGTCTAGAATCCGCGGAGCCCTAGACCCTCGCTAGTCTTCTCTAAATATCGGGTCGTGGGCCGAGGAGATATATACTCGGTTAAGGTGAACCGTGCGCGCCTCGATCCGACTTTTCGCCGAGTACTCGCTAATTATAACGCGCGAAGGGTTATAGCGTGGAAGAATCTTAGTATCGGGTAAGACGGTGTAAATACTGATAGGGTAGTCCCTGGTAAGCGAAAGAAGGCAGATAAGGTAACGATATATAGGCGCTATAATCCTTAACGCGATATTTATATTTAAGAGGCTTTCTTCTCGTAGCACTTAATAGATCTGTATATATCTTTTATCGTCTTGGCCACCTTTATAATATTATTTTATAAACTAATGGTCCTCGAGCTAGCTTCTTTAACACTATAAAGGTCCCCTTCGTCCTCGGACAGCGAGCACCTAGACACTTATCTTCTTATTATTCGGATATCCTAGTTCGGCAGATCGGTTTTAACTTTAATTATCTCGTCGTTTCCATAGCCTAAACGTGCGCTTCTTTCCTTCTTAGTTTAGACTCTTGTAGTCTTTCTCCCAGTCCTCTTCCTCTTCCTTACCGTTACTATCACTATACCGAATTATTACGAGTCGGATTACTATATAATATAATCTAAGACTAACTAATAGCCCGTATATAGGGATACCCTCGGTTTCCCGGCCACCCTAATAAAATCTCCGGCGTAACCTCCGCTAACGCGCTCCTCTACGCCGGCCGCTAACTCTATTATGAGCCCGACCACTCCCACTACGGGAACCCCTTCGGGTCAGGCCGAAGTCTCCTCCTCTATTATACTATAGCCCGAGTTAAGGCCGTAATCTCGATCCGTAAGCCGCTATAGCCTAAAGCGGCCTTCCGCCCGT